ACACATACACACACACATACACACACACACACACACACACACATCACATACACACACACACACACACACACACACACGCGCGCGCGCGCACTGGCGTCATTAAGCTCACAAACAAGCACGCACGTACGCGCAAACATACTAACAGACTTCCACATATAATTTATATGTGAACAATTCCAAAATTTTTAACATCACTTTTAATACTGAAGATTGAACATAATGGAAGACTTCAGTGGCAAAGCAACGGTAGTCACGAACTGAAAATCGTAAGGGTACAAACTTTGAAGGCTTGTTGACGATTAACTGTATTTCTGTTCAACTGTTGGTTGATTATTGTTAGATTTTCCATTCAACACTTAACAATAAACCACCATCCAAACAAATATGAAACTATGAGTACACATGCACCCTCACAATTTCCAGTTTATGACTACAGTCGTTTCAGGAAAAGATTATAATCATCTTTTCATTGAAGGAGGTCCCTCTTTGTGGTGTATATTGTGCAGAATATCATTATAACTTGTCTATAATTTTGATATATTTGGGATTAGTTAAAGCACGTGGACTTTGGAATGACATTGTAGATGTTTTATGACAATATAGACACAGTAATGGCCGTTAAGGCACCAGTAAGGACCTTGTATTGATAAAATGTTTGACTAATACTTGCTGCTAGCTTCTTTTATTTGCTGTTTGTGGGTGCTTTAAGCAAAAGAACGTTTAAAAAAATTGGGACGAACCGTCCCTAACCAAACCCCTCTATACATCCAGCGGGAACAGATATTAAGAACCCTAATCTATCCATCTATCTATTATTGTCATCCATTGTCATTTTAAATTATAATAACAATAGTATTATTATTATTATTATTATATTATTATTATTATTATTATTATTATATTAATATTATTATTATTATTACAATTATATTATTATTATTATTATTATTATCATCATCATCATCATCATCATCATCATCATCATCATCATCATCATCATCATCATCATCATCATCATCATCATCTTCATCAGTAATATAATTGTTATTATTGTTAATGTTATTGTTATAATTATGATTATAATTATGTTTATAATTACGATTATTATTATCAAAATAATTACTATAGTATTTCTATTATCACTATCATCATCATGTAGGGCCTTTTATGCTTCCACACAGGCGCTGAGGTCTACACTGAAGAGTGAGCCGGCCTCCGCTATGACCCCGGCGTCCATGAAGGAGAGGAATCGCTTGTGGCCTGTCTTCTTGTCCAGGAGCACAGCCGACTTTGGAATACACTGGTCCCTGGACAGTACCCACGACTCCTGCACGTCGGCGTTCTGTGGGGCGATGATGGTTGATGATGATGAGGATGATGATGATGATGATGATGATGATGATGATGATGATGAGGATGAGGATGATGATGAGGATGAGGATGAGGATGAGGATGAGGATGATGATGATGATGATAATGATGATGAGGATGAGGATGATGATGATGATGAGGATGAGGATGAGGATGAGGATGATGATGATGATGATGATGATGATGATGATGATGATGATGATGATGATGATGATGATGGTGGTGACGATAATAATAATAACAATAATAATGATAATGATGATGACAGTGCAATAATAACAGAAAAACGACAACAACAACATTAATAATAATAATAATAATAATAATAATGATAATAATAATAATAATAATAATAATAATAATAATAATAATAATAATAAGAAGAAGAAGAAGAAGAAGAAGAAGAAGAAGAAGAAGAAGAAGAAGAAGAAGCAGAAGAAGCAGAAGAAGAAGAAGAAGAAGAAGAAGAAGAAGAAGAAGAAGAAGAAGAAGAAGAAGAAGAAGAAGAAGAAAAAAAAGAAGAAGAAGAAGAAGAAGAAAATTATAATTATAATAACCATAATATTAATAATAACAACAACAACAACAACAACAATAATAATAATAATAATAATAATAATAATAATAATAATAATAATAATATAAATAATAATAATAATTTTTAAAAATATATATAATAATAACAATAATAATAATAATAATAATAATTATAATAATAATAATAATTTTAAAAAATTATAATAATTTAAAGAAAAAAAATGAATAAAAAAAAAAAAAAATAATAATAACATGGCCAGCACTAACATGTTTGCAAATTTGTCCTGCGTATAAGCATATTGTTAATTTTTTTGTAAGTGTATTTGGGCGTGTAATTATGAATTCTATGTAAGTATGTTTGCCACTGTAATCTAGATTTCCCCGTCTGGACCAAAAAAGTCTAATTTATTCATTATTAGAAGGGAAAAAGCACACCAACCAAGCACAAATATTATACAGGGGTGATCGGCCTGACTTTTAGAACCCCCACCTCC